TTGGGGCTAAATATGTTTAATATTGAAAATTGGACTTGGCTTTTTCAGAACCTTATGATAATTGGATATAACCTTGTACAAAATACAAGCTACTTTTAAAAGATAATATAATTGATGAGGTAATAAATTATGTAAAGTGTTCTTAAAACGTCTTTTTAAATCAAGTATGTAATTAATATTTGAGATAAATGTTCCTTATGCCTCATTCCTCCGTCGTAATATTTTCCTGGATCGTAAATTTAATACTTTGAGTATATATAAATTCCCGCAAGTGCCGTGACAGATAATTTTATAATATCTTAATAATTCCTGGAGTCTTATTGTTAAGCTTTTGTTGTAATTAATGCATACAATTATTTCAGAACCTTAATCGTTCCTATTTCCGTTAAGAATGTTAATATATTCTTTTTAAATTACTTAGGCCGTTACTTCTTGATTCAATTAAGTTATTTATATTCGTTCCTAACTTTAGATAAGACATAATACTTTCAGCCAAATAATAATTCCAATATCAACCAATAATGGATTCATTGGATAAAACTATAACTAGATGTATGGGATATTGTCTTTAAATTTGGTGAAAGTCCTGAGATTGGTACTGTAGAATATGTAACGTTGATTAAACTCTAACATACAAGAAGGCAAACAGGAATTTCAGAATTGTTTGTATTTTTTTTTTCTATTTCATTGTAGTTCATTAACACTATATTATACATTGCTGAAGATATTGTTATAATGCTAAGTATAAAAAATCGAGACACATATGTATACTAAATTATTTTAAAAAGGGCAATTTTAGGACTCATACATATCCATAATGTTTATTTAAAAATATAAGATTGGTGGAAATTTTACAAAACAAAACATTAATAATTTCTCATAAAGCAAGTTTCTCTGTTCAATTTTTTAATATATTGTATAAATATTATACTGAAATTGAATGCTTAGAATAACATACCACTTTATTCAGACTCCAATCATAGAGAAATTTCAATAATGAAAAAGCTATAAGATTGAACATTGTCCTTGTGCTCCATCGGATGAATAAATCATCCACTTACGCTTCAATATAGTCACCCAGAAGACAAGCTTCAGTACATTAATGAATGTTTTTTTAAAGAGGTATGAATTTAAAAAAAAATTGTCTATTGTAATTTTTTTCTTTTTTAACGATACAAAAATTATAACAAATATTGATTGTATATTAAATTTCGCTTTAAATGAAATAGGTTTAACTTAAGCAGCTACGCTACGGTACGGTACGCTACGGTACGTGGTCGGTACGGTGGTCCCAACAATAGTTTTTTTTTTCAATTATCCCGTTTTTCCTGACTGATTGTGCCTGAAGTGTCTTGCTGTGGAGTAAACACTAAACATATTTTGTGAGTGCATTTATATTTAAAAAAATCACAAAATTTCACAAAATTTCACATGGTTTTATGCTGGTAAATCTTAAGATAAAATGCTATTAATGTACAACATAAATATATTTAATTATTTGATTTAATTCTCCTAACGAACTAAAATGGATTCTGGAAATAGGCTGATTAAGGAGTATGATACAGTGTCATAGTCGTAGCTGTGGCTTCCATTCCTATTGTAAATGCATGGATTCTAGAGTTATATAATAAAATCGTCTTTGCTTAGCCCAAATTAACCTTCACCATCTACGCTTCACAATTTAGGTGTGTGAATAAATATACAGAGGTGGCTTAATATAGTACCCGTAGATAAAAAAAGGGCTGTATATTTCTCTTTTTGACCGAAAAGTTTAATTAAATATAATAAAGAAGTATTTATATCTTATGTATATATTGTAAATAACTTACACTGGAAAATTTTAATAGTAAAATTTCTTTCAGTTGAATGGCTAGTTAATAAGTATTAATGGCATCCATAATTACACACTATATTAAAAATGCTGACTTTTACTGATAATACATTGACTTTTTAAAATTCTGGAAGAGCTAACTTGGATGAGAGATTTATGCGATTTATATTTTTTATGTGATTCGTCACTTAAGTAAATCCTAATTCTCAGTCTGAATTCTAACTCATAATTTATAAGTCGCTGTATATCTGTTTCTAGTATACACATACATATTTTAAAAATGTGTATTAAAATTTTAGGTCCAGTTCTATTTCATTCAAATTTATTTTTAATAACATTTAAAAACTATTTTTCTAAATGAGTTTCTACTTGATTCCACGTCCTAGTTTTTAAAGTCTAATCTAGTTGTTTGAGGCTAGGCTTCGACTTCTAGTTCCGTTTATTTTTTTCAGAAGTCCTTATATATACAAATATTATTCATTCCTTTAACTGATATAAATAGTTTATTATTGGTTTCTACTCATCGCCCTTCCGAAATTCATTATATTGAGATTAAAGGTACAACATATAAAATGGAACAGACAGCAAACACACAAGTTTTCATAGTAATAATCTTATAACATTCAAACAATGTAAGTCGTACATTTGTCGATTCCTATGACAAATGATGCTATTATGGAGAATACGAAAGAAGATAAGAATACTATTGGTATACATTAGAACTTTATCTGAAGGGATATGAAATTTATATGTATTTTTGATAAAATATATGTATTAAACCCATATTTTGTTGTTTGTATGGAAGTATAAGACGATATTACAGATCCGTAACTCTACTTAATTGAAGGTCTAAGGATTTTAAGATTCAAATTGAATTTCTAGGATGAAAAATTCACCAACGAAAGTCAGGGCACAATATTTTAAATCTTTAAGTAATACGGGATTCAATATTCCGGAACTTAGCTCTACTTCGAGTTTATTTTAAGTTTAATTTATTTTAAGTTTAGTAACGCGAAAACGAAAACTTATTACAATATTTTCATTTAAATTTTTTCTCTTAAAAGCATTATTGTTGCGCTAGTCAAGTCTTTATTAAAATGTTAAAGTCGAGCAACTGCCGGCACGTGCGAATCAGTTCACTGACATTCGAAGCGCCAACATTTACAAAACTCATTTTGGTTTAATTATTATTAATTAAGTGTTTTATGTATTCCAGTTTATTTTTTTTTAGATCAGTGGTTGTTTTTCCCTCTGTTTTTAACCAATGACGCAAATATTATAAGCTTGATGTCAATGTGTGTGTGCACCTTTTGTACCTGACTTGTTGTAATGGAAAACACCGTAGATTTCAAATTTCTTTTGTAAAAATATTAATAATCTTTACCTATTTTGACATACCTGCAGTAAGTTTGTCAGAAATTTATTAAAATCTGTATATTTTAATCAATAGCTAAAAACTCTAAGTAGAAACTAACTTATAATTGCCCAGGGAGTATTTTAGAATTCTATTTCAAGTCATAATGCATTGTGTTTAAATGAGACTGCTCACTTAATATGGTAAATTTTATATTATTTTAATGACAAGAATAGTCTTCATAAATTATTATAAATAACCAAAACCCAAGTCTCAAAAGGCCTCTAATTTAGTGTTATGACATTTCTCTTTTAATTCTTGCAGATTAATTGATTTGTATTAATATAATTTTTATAAAATGATAATAATTAATTGCAAAAGGAAATTTAGAATTAATGTATTTTTTCTTCTCGGACCTCAAAGCTTTTAGGATCGAATAATATTGTGCTGAATAAGAATTAATACAAGAATAACATTGAACGTAATTTTTGTACTTACAGCCTCGGGTTTACCGACTGCCGGAGGGAAAATTCAATAGAAATATCATGTACTGTATACATGATGTCCCCTCCTCGTCGATATAAAATGTATATGATATCAATTATTATATATAAATAATAAAATCCCTCTCACGTGTTGTATGTTATTAAAATTTTCCGAATTTGGTTATTCAAATACATTGTTAAAATTAACTTAATTATCTAAATCAATAGGATATAGACACTTCTTCTACCTGGCAATTTCCCAGCTATAGCCAGGGTTTGCCTTACATGTTGTGAATAGTTTTTGGCTATTTGTTTCTACGACCGGCCGCCTGCCTGACATCAACCCTCTTTGGGAATCAGCATTAATCAGTGATGTCAAAATATGCTTGGAAAGTACATATGACTCGGAAAATAACATTGGTACTTGCCCGGGCCAGGATTGAACCCGCGCCCTCATGCATGAGAGGCGGGCCTCTTAACCAGTAGGCCACCACTGACTCAATAGGAAATCACTATGTAGGTTTAATTATAATTAATCTGAGTATAAGAGTCAATACAGATGATAAAACAATTACAGTGTTACTGTCTTTATTTTAAAAGACAAATCTTTATGTACATGCCTTTTCATTTCTTCCTTATTTTAAGGGAGTTATTGTATTGAATAAAGTTGTTCAAGGTATTAACGATTTTTATAAAGATCCGTATACCAGATATTTCATACAGTTAAGGCACATTTACGTAGGTTACTGGAAGAAGCATTTTTCTATTTTTTTTCTGGACATCCTCGGTTCTAGCTATGTATAAAATCATTATATTGCGCGTAATATACCAAGATATATACCTGCAATCCTGAAAGTATAAAATAAAGTATTATTGAACAATAACAGGTCTAATTAAACAAAAATAATGATATAATAATTTATTCTCCATTATAATGGAGTTGTGAGTGAGTTGTGAGTTACAGTGCGTCGTACTTTACTTATTCCTCCTACAAGAAATGTATTCGTCCAGTTACACTAAGTGCACTTTAGTAGGATTTCACTCTCACTCAACATTTGACTAGTTTATAATATGAAATGTTTTGCCTTAAATATTTTACTTAGTAATGAGAAATGGAAAATCCCAATCGGATATCACTGAACAAATCGCTATGTTTAAAACTTTTAATTTTTAAACTTTGACACCTATTTTTACTTGAATCGAGATAAATGAAAGTTGGTATTAATATATTTGAAACCTGTTAATATGTAATTTAATTTAATTTTCTATAAGAATAGTAGAAAAAGTATGAAATTGAATTACAGGTATTTGTATTTTAAATAATACGAAAATGAATCCTTTTTTTTTCTTTTTTACTTGGAGGAATCCTATTACGGACTTCCCGTGCCTGGGCAAATTTAGTGACACGGGGGTGTGTGGGGCTCGACCTAAAGGCGTGCGGCCACTACCCACTAAACCTCCAAGGCCCAACCTCTCTCCGCTGAGTGCCGAAGCCACGGGAACAATCATACGACCGCGACTCCGGCGACGGGTGACCGCTGGCCAGCTGACCAGCCGTCTCCTGTTCGTTCTCTCGTTCTCCGCTACTACTCCGCGGTGCGCAGAGGTGTACGCACCACGGACCGCTCGGGGACTCGTTGCAGTTGCTGTGAGGCGGCGGTGTGCCCACACCGTCACCTCGAGTACTCCAGGCTAAGGCGGCGGGATGTCACGACCAAGGGTGTTGGTGGCCGTACGTCGTCGCCTCCGTCTTCGTCTTGAGGTTTCGAGCGCCTCCCTCTCTCTGCCGCGCTCGTCTTCCTCCTTCGCAGCCATCACCTCCTCGGCGAAGGTGGCGACCGCAGTCCAGTCCGATGGCGGCTCGTAGAGCCGCACGTTGTCGCGTCCAGTGGGGACAGGCCGAGATGGTATGTTCGGCCGTGTCCCTTACGAAAATGAATCCTAATTCTAAGGGATTGTATTAAAAGAAAAGGATTTATCCTCATAGCCATTTGTAATAGTTATGTTTAAATACAAATAAATAAAAAGGAAATTTCTTATAAATTTATTAACTAATAGCATCCCAACTTATTGTTTTATTTGCCTATATGTAATTAAGAACCATGGAAGAAGGCCATTGCTACTAAACTGTATAGCGGAGAAATATTATGCATTTCAAGTTAAAGCCTAATCTGAATGAGGTTTTTTTAATTTGTTTCGAGGTAAAATTATACTTTTCATTTAATCAATTTATTTCTAATAAACTGTTAAATATAGGGATAATATAAGGATTTTATGCTTCACTATATGTACCTGTACTTTAGATGATATTAGTTGTAATTATATTGTGTCGATTGGTTTCCAAAAGTATAATGTTCATTTTTTGCTAGACGATATATATATGTTTACAAAAAATATTGTTTTTTAAAAAATCTTTTATTCAACAATATCTGCGTTAGACATGACATAAGTTAGTTAATTTTATGCGACAGTGGTTTTATGGTGTATGAGGATTAAATAGAATATATACATTACCTTATGTATACTAGTAGAGAGAGAAGTTCTCAGACAGTTCCATAAAAAGAATAATCCGGAAAGATGTGCGCTTGTGCTAATTGTCTGGTCAGCTAATTACATATGTTTTTGTATTTGTTAAACATTCTACAATAGTAGCAATCACTACACTTAACTCTATTTAAAATAAAATAATTTAACTAACTACCACATATTACATGTTACTATAAAAATCCCTTTCCTTTTAATGTTTCATTGAGTATTGAGTTTCATTAAATTTAATAGGTATCATTGAAATAAGTGTGTCTCTATTATTGTCTAATAAGTTTATCTCGTCAAATGTTAAGATGATACGAGTAGTAAATAATAATTACAGTTTAAAAAATTTATAACTCTTTTTGGGCGATGTGTACATGAGGTTTATTCTCTCAAGTAAAAGTGCAAAATTGAGAAGTTTAAAATGATTTCCCCGTTAGATTCAAGTGGCCACGAAATGAAAATAGATCTCATTTAAAAATATTTGTTTTCATTCTCTATGGAAATAGTAAAAAATCTGGAAGCATGATCAAATTTTCTTTCAGGTTTTTCTTCCTTAGTTTTCACTGAAGGTGATTCTTTAAAAATAAAAGTACTATTTAAATGAGCAAGTAATTACATTTCTTATTAATTTTAACAAAATACGTGTACATTCTTTATATATAAGGCTTTTTATAACATAACTACCATATATGAATTAAGGGAGATATAAACTCCAAATAATAAAATTTCTTTATTATTAAATAAGTCTATCAAGAATAAAGCATTTTCCAGTTTTTCTGAATAAAACAATATTAATAACAGGTGAGTTGAATGGCAAGTACATAAATTAGTCAGTTAAAAATTTTAAAAGAGGACTTCAGTTACGATTATTCCCCTTAGTTTACTTCTAACATCATTAAATATCGAAAAAATTTCAGATTATAATTTGTACTAATTTAAAATAGAAATTTTGTTCAGCAACATATGTTTCTGTTTTTTAGATTACGAAAAATACTTGATGTATAGACTTTCAAACGAAAGTTTTGCAGACGATAATCTTGAAAGACATTATTATTACTGTGAACAGTAAAAAATGTATACTTTAAATATTGCAAGAAATAAGGAACAAAACTAACTTATTGTTTTATTCGTGGTTCACTTTACGATTGAATGCCGCTTCTTAAATCAAAGGTTTGCTTGAAAAAGCAAACAATTAATTCAGTTTCAAGAGATCACAAGACGGTATATACATATTTACATTTAAGGAATAAGTGTTTTAGTTTAATAGCAACATTTATTCAGAAAACGAACTTAAAACGTTTGTTTTTAAAGCCATTTTGCAGAACATGTTTACAAAACTTATAAATCGTTTACTAAAATATAAATGTCAATGTCCGTAAATTATAAATGTTCATGTTTGTGATTAATACGTTCTTTAAAGAAACAAACGGAGTATAAAATTATAACTTTTCAAAGAAACATAAGAAGTATAACAAATATAAAAATTACATTGGAGACTATTGGCTTTTAGCTTTCTAAAAGCAGGCTAATGTAAATATTTTATAATGAGCATAAGAAAAACTTTTACATATAATGTTATCAAGTATTCTAAACGTCATTTGGATGAAAAAGATTAAAGTAACAACCTAAAAAAGTTTATATTATGTCTTGAAATTTCTTATTGTTCTTGACATCTAGTGTAATTTTAATAAAATATCTAAAATTTATAAAATTAACATGGAATCTTTAACAAGCGTACCACCATACATAATATAGACAATTATTTTAATGTTTATGATTTATCTATCTTTTGGCCTTTATTATATTCAAAACGTATCCTTTTAAATAATTTCTAAATCTGAAAACGTCTGTGAATAATTATCTACAAAACATGTAATTGGATTTGAATAACACTGTTTGTGCCATGCCTAAATTGGTAGGCCACTCAGCTTATGTTGAAAAATCATTATCATGAGTTTCAACGCTGGTATTCTGTGGCTGCCAGTAACTACGCACGCCACGTCGCAGGTAGTGAGAAAAAAAATAAAAAAAAAATAAAAATTTTGACAAAAAAAATAAAAATTTTTATTAAAAAATATAAATTTTTATAAAAAAATATAAATTTTTATAAAAAAATAAAAATTTTGATAAAAAAATAAAAATTTTGATAAAAAATTAAAATTTTGATAAAAAAATAAAAATTTTGATAAAAAAATAAAAATTTTGATAAAAAAATAAAAATTTTTATTAAAAAATATAAATTTTTATAAAAAAATATAAATTTTTATAAAAAAATAAAAATTTTGATAAAAAAATTAAAATTTTGATAAAAAATTAAAATTTTGATAAAAAAATAAAAATTTTGATAAAAAAATAAAAATTTTGATAAAAAAATAAAAATTTTGATAAAAAAATAAAAATTTTGATAAAAAAATAAAAATTTTGATAAAAAGATAAAAATTTTGAATAAAAAATAAAAAAATTGTATAAAACAAAATAATTTGTATTGATGTATTATTTTTGGGATTTTAATACTAAAAAACTATTTCTCCACATCATTTCATTTTATTATTTATAATCACTCCTGTACATTGTATATAAAAGAGTGAAATAAGAATTCGAGGTGGTTATAATCTGGAAAATAAAAATATTTTTATGAAAAATAAAATAAGTTTGAGTTAATCTTTGTAAAATAAAAACTTGCAGAACTATATGTTGACATAGTGATAGGTCTAAACTTGAAAGCCGTAAAATAAAGCGATTTCTGTGATCTGTGAAAAAAGACGTAAAATCTATTAGGTGATACATTATATATTTTTAGAATCGGTTTTTTTCTTCAAGATTCTTACAGTTTTTTCTTTTCACAGAATCTTGAACAGTGTAAAGTAAAAATAATAATAAATTTAATTGATATATTTTCTGTTTAAACTAACGAAATATTTTTTACCTCTGCAGGAGTATAAATAGCGTTTTTTGACAACGTAACCTACGTAGTATACTATGAGCTTTTGTAAACTGCATCCGCGATTCCTGAGCTCTGAAAATAATATAAAATATATAGATAAATAAGTATAAGAAAAAAATAACATTAATTAAAATTTACTAGTAAATTATTAAAAATCTTAAATGCTACTTAAATATTTATTACTTAATAAAGACATAATAATATTTTGTAAGAAGTATTTGTCTTACCGATGTTGAAATGTCGTCTGCATATCAACATTGTAGTATAACCACTTGTGTTAAAGCGGCACCCTATAAGAACTTGTTACTCATTGCCATCCATGGATCGAGAAGCTGGTTTCACATTAAACATATATTATTAATATTGGCTCCTTACACAGTATACTACATAAATTATTGTATAAAATAGACTTCTGTGTATACATGTGTACTTACGATATTAAAGACGACACAGCAAATATTTATTGAGCTTAATAAAACGTTTATGAGATTCACGATTGAAAAAGCGTTTTCTAAATTTGTACCATAGCTGAAACATATATTCATGAAATTTTTATACATATAAATATATTAAAAGAAGGTGGTCTTATAATAATCATACGTTATAAGTATCTGATGTATTTTTATGACTACAACAATGTCTTCATAACAAAAGATATTTCCTTTTTTCATTCGAACTAATCGTAGTATTCTTATTTTTAAAAGACGCAGTGTTCGGTATTTAGACAGGTTAAAGAAAACGTCTTTGGTTTTGCTAAATACTTTTATCTGAAGATACAGATGTTACGAAGACAAGAAATCGTAGCGGAATGATATTCAAATTTGAAATATAAGGGAAGTGACGTATATACACAGATAAAAAGGATTACAAAATTATGTAGACTGTCGTAGTTCGTATAGACAAAATGTCATATAAAATAAATGTAGTGCAGGTCCACACGTAGGCGCCAACATATTCCCTCTTCTTGAACGCATAGCTTCGCGTTCAAGATTCGTCCTCTGGGTGAAATAAGGGGCAGATGCGTGTTAGGGATCGACGCACTACACCTCTCGTGGTTTGAACGTCCGCAACCCTTGCGATACCGTCAGGCTCAGGGTGAAAAAGCGTGACTCGTCCCAAGTGCCAAAGCAAAGGGACGGCATTGTCTTCTTGAAGGAGAACCATGTCACCGATGCGTAGCTTTTCATGATTGAAGCGCCATTTGATTTGGTGCTGTAGCTCGCTGATGTATTCACGCTGCCAGCGACGCCAAAAGTGGTGTCATATTTGTTCCAAGCGCATGTAGCTGTTGTGGCTGTTGGGGCTGCAGTCTTCAATGTTCGGAGAAGGCAAAGCAGTCAATGGCCGACCAATCAGAAAGTGCCCTGGGGAGAGAGGAAGTAAATCGTTAGGAGAGGTGGACATGGGATATAGAGGACGGCTATTTAATATAGGCTACTTGTGCTAAAAGCGAAGTTAACTCTTCAAAAGTTAAATTATTATTGCCAATCATTCTTTTGATATAAAATTTTGCAAATTTAATTCCCGCTTTCCATAAGCCGCCAAAGTTAGGAACGTAGGCGGAAATAAAGTGAAATTTTATTTGTTCGTCAACGGCAAAATCAGATATAACGGTTGTACGGGTTTGTACATTAAAACTATGCACTGGTTCGGTTATTCACTATTTATTTTCCACACGAATTACAATTCTGAACACTGTTAATAATCTTCCGTTTCACTGTTCGCTGTTGAAGTTTTCCGTAGTTCTTGAGTTCCGCTGACTGATGTTCTTCCGATGAATTCCGCTCACTGACTGCGCTGAGTCGGCCCGTCGGCCGGCCTTTTATATCCGCGCGGTGATCTCACCGCGCATTGCCGGTGTTTGAACGAGCGCGCAGGCGCTCGCCCAATCAGGAGCTTGCGTTGTCGAGCGTAGTTGCGTATATGATTATTTTACAGTTACAAGTTGTTTCTATTTTACATTCTACATAGTTTCTATATTTTTATTTACTATACTATGCTGTTTATTTACATCGATCTTACGCTATATCTTTATTTACATATTACAAGTTCTATCGCTATTTATTTTACATATATACATATTATTTTCTATACTATTTCTATAATGCTATCCCGCACAACGGTATTAGTTTTTAGAAAATGGGATAGTTCCTTAACCACTGCAACAAAATTGTGACCATTGTCGAAACATATCTCCACTCGTTGATATGATTACGTTCCCTATGCCTACAATATTAAGATTCGTGGGTATGGATTCCAACCCTAATCTATTTTTTAAAAATTGAGTTAAGAAGCTAGATTGACTGCCACTGTCTAACAGAGCACGTATAGTTTCAGTTTTCGAATTGACTAGATTCATAACTTCAATCATGACTGTTGACAACATGACATGCGTAAAAGGTTGTCTGGAAAAATTGACGCTTAGTTCGTCTTCTGCAGTCTGAGAAGATGAATTTTTATTAAAATGTGATGACAAAGAATCGTTACTAGTTTTAGTTAACAATGTGTTGTGACGTCCCTTGAATTCGCGACATGACCCTGAGGTGCACTGACTTGTATTATGACCGGAACGGAGACAATTTGTACACAGCTTAAGTTTGAAAACTTCGGCAATTCTCAACTCAGGTGTTTTCGCTAAAAATGAAGGGCAATTATAAATCAAATGGTTACTCTTGCACTACAAGCAACGAGTACGATTTTTATTTGTTTGATTGATACCTAAATTAGAAGTGCACGACAGCGGTTTTTATGTCTCGTAATCTTAAAATTATTACTATTGCTAGACGATGACGTACTAGTAGAAATGTGCTTGTTATGTTTAAATGATTCTAGTACATCAGCACGGTCCTTGAGAAACCTATGGAATTGATCTAAGGTTGGCATATCGCTTAGAATATTGCGATGCTCCTCCCACTTCATACTTGTGTGGTTATCTAACTTTGAACTAACTAAATGAATGATAAACGTCTCCCACTGATCTGTGGGTTGGCCTAAACTTGCTAACGCACGTTAATTTTTACTTACGTGATTAATCAAAGATCGTAATGACTGTTCGGATTCCCTACTTAACGGCTCAATATTGAACAAAGCATTGAGGTGGTTATTTACGAGTATTAACTATCTCTTATTGTCGTACTGCTCGCACAGCAAATTCCACGCTTTGTTGTAGTTTATTTCAGAAACTTCCAAGTTAGAAATAAAACGAGCGGCTTCACCCTCTACATATGAATTTAAATAATAAAACTTATAAATAGGTAGGATTTTTTCGTTGTAATGAATAAGAGATCTAAAAGTATCACGAAACTCAAGCCAGCGGAAATAGGTTAATGGTAGTTAAAAACCTATGCCGTGTGGTTCGCGTTGACATTGGGAATGCCTGCTTTCTTCGTCCTTTAACATCTGCGTAGATTTGGAATACCGTGCAATGATATTTTGAGCAATGCAAATGCTACCATCGATGTCATTCTCAATCTCCTCGCGAATATCCCGCTCAGCTTCTAAAATATCGCCGTTCGAGATTTCGATATGATCTTGCACGTCGTTAAACTCGCTCGATAAGCATTCGAACTTATTTAATTTGATCTTTATTTCGTTTAATTGAATCGCTTCTAAACTTGATAAATTATTTAATTTTGGTATATAGTATTTAAACTTAATGACGCATCTTTTAATACTACTGCGTCTTAAAATTAATTCTTTTAAAGTAGACATTATAATGCGAACAAAAGAAACAAATGTAAGTACTAATAAGAATCAATGACAGGCACAGCTGATCTATTCAAATGCGACAAACACTTCACTCGAGTGGGTAATAAAGTTTACATACGCTCCTCCTTTGTTTAGCGATAAGCTAATTGCCTCGGACACCTGAAGAGACTGACCGCTCGCCAGTTCTCAGCGTGGCATCAACCCGCACAGCCAACACTCCCGTACGCTGAAAACGTCGGCAATATGTGGTTTAAATACTTGTCTTAAATGAATGATAAAATAGGATGCGTATGAAACAATGAAGTGGTTTAAGTTTAGGTTGCGAAATGTGGCAGTGAAATTTACAGAAGTATCAGGAAATAAATTGAAATTTGTTTAAAATAATGGATAAAAAAGTGCGTTTAAGACGTTGGAATATAACGTTAGCATTAGTTTTGTAGCAAAAGTGATGCAATTGAAGTTATAGTTAAGTTGATTTATGTTACGATGACTTGGCAAATTTGAATTTTAACGGTTGCAATAAAGTTTTGATTTTACGGGATATGAGCTTGTACACTTGGTTGATAGCTATAAAAATAGTGTAGTATGATAATGGTGATGAAAGATAGATGGATGATGGTGATGGATGGATGATGATGATGAATGGATCATTGATAGATGGATGAATGGAGATTTCGTTGAAAAGGTAGACACTTATCTGATTTGGCCCTGCTTCGGCAGCGTTGGTAGGTACTGCCGGCTGGTGCTTGCAAATCTTCTTAGTGGTGTTTGAGCGTTAAGCCTGTGCTGCGATGCTGTTGCGAATCGGCGATGGCTTCAATACTTTTATCTGAAGATACAGATGTTACTAAGACAAGAAATCGGAGCGGAATGATATTCAAATTTGAAATATAAAGGAAGTGATATACCTATGTACACAGATAAAAAAGGATTAAAAATTTATGTATAATATCGTAGTTCGTATAGAGAAAATATCATATAAAATAATTGTAGTGCAGGTCCACACGTAGGCGCCAACACGCAGAAGCATGCTGATGTGACTCGCCATTGTCATGAATAAAATGTCGGACCCCAACATTGACCATACGGAAACCAACCCTGAAAATGAATTTATATTAACAGTTATATGATAAAAATAAATCTTTTTTATATGTCATACCTTTTATCCTAATAAAATAATATTTTACAAAGAATAAATAATTATAATTTAGGCTACATACCAAGAAAAACGCTATAACAAGTAGAAATAAAAATTATATACCTAAACGGTATACAATTTTTATTTCTACTTATACATATTTTAATATTTTAACTTATATGGAAAATTATGTTAAAGTTAAGACTGACTTCAATTTTTCTTTCACTACGACAACTTAATGGTCTAAACTAAAAACAAATGACTGTACCCTTTTTTTAAAAGTAACAATATAGATTAAAAAAAATACATTTATTTACTGATATAATTTTGTTTTATAAATTATAATATAGTTCGTTTCCAACTCTCCACGAGTCGAATGACAATCAAGCACCATCAGTCTAAATAAAGAGAC